GCTCTGGTTTTTGGGAATGATCTCGATTTTATTGCTTTAACAGAAACGTGGCTTAAGCCTGATATTAAAGATTGCGAAATACTACCTGGCAATCAGTATAGAGTCTATAGGCGGGATCGTAGTGACGGACGTCGCGGTGGAGGGGTTTCTTTTAGCTGTTAAATCTAGTATTTTGAGTTTCAGAAGAGATGAAATTGAACCTGATGCCGAGATTCTTGTTTGTGACTTATTGCCAAAAGATGCAAAGAAACTAACTATTTGTGTATGTTATCGGCCTCCAGACTATGATGACTTTATTGAACCGTTTACTTCTTTATTGGCCAAGGTTAATCCTGATGATAACTCCCGTCGATTTTAATTTCCCTTATATTAACTGGGGTACAGTTTCTGATACACAAGACTCTGGAAGTGCAAATGATTTTTGCGATTTGGTAAACAACTACTTTTTAACCCAAGTAGTAGATGCACCAACTAGATATTCTGGTCAACAAAATAACGTGGGGTCTATTCTGGATTTAATTTTATGCAATTTCCCTGATAATGTATCAGAACTGAGAATTGAGTCGGATATTTTTGAGTCCGATCATTTGGTTGTTAATTTTTGCATTGAAGCTAAAGTCAAGCGTCAAAAGAAAACAAAACGTACTGTTTATAATTTTCATAATGCAAATTTTTATGGTATGAGGCAATCTTTAGGCTTCATTGATTGGGACAACGTTTTGCTGGATAACGAAGATGTCAACGAAAGTTGTGAAAAATGGCAACAAGTTTTTACATCAATTGCTGATCAATATGTAGCAAAGGTACGCGTTCGCGACATCCACCAGCCGCCTTGGTTAGACAGAGAAATCGTTCATTTATTGCGTAAGAAGAATAATCTTAGGCGCAAGGCTAAAGTCCGTGACAGTGCTAACTTGTGGTCACGTTTTCGCCGCTTGCGTGCTGATATAAAGAAACTTATCAAGTACAAAAAGAAAGTTTATATTACCAATTTGGGTCAATCACTTAAAGATAATCCGAAACGATTTTGGTCGTACTACAAAGTCATCAACAAATCTAGCAGAATACCTAACGTTGTTTCTCATCATGACATCTCAGCGAGTGAGCCACGTTTTAAGGCGAATTTATTTAATAAATATTTTCATTCCGTATTTAATACCCCAGTTGCTGGTGAATTTGTTGTACCTCTGCCTACTCTGAGCTATACCACACATGGTGTATTATCTGATATTGTCATTGAGAGGGATTTCGTCAACAAAGCTCTTCGGTATCTTGACGTAAACAAGGCTAGCTTTGGTATCCCTTCACGGCTTCTTAAAGAATGCTCTGAAGAAATTACTGTACCTGTAACTACTTTATTCAACAAGTCACTTAGTACTGGTGTTTTTCCAAATCAGTGGAAAGATGCTAATCTTGTCCCGATACATAAGGCTGAACGAAAGTCAATTGTCTCTAACTATAGAGGAATTTCGTTGCTCGATCAACTGTCAAAAGTCCTTGAAAAAGGTGTTTTTGGTAGATTGTTTGACTTTGTTTCACCAAAGCTAACCCCTTGGCAACATGGCTTCTTTCCTGGCCGTTCCACCGTTACCCAGCTACTTCAAGTAGTTCATTTACTTTCTAGCGCCCTTGACAAAAAGCAACAGGTTGACTTAGTTTATTTGGATTTTTCCAAGGCGTTTGATAGAGTACCGCATGATAAACTTCTCCACAAGCTCCATGCTATTGGGATTCGGGATCCATTACTGTCATGGTTCCGCAGTTACCTTTCAGACAGACGTCACCGTGTTGTTCTTGATGGTCATACTTCAGAGTGGCTTCCAATGACATCGGGAGTGCCCCAAGGATCGGTCTTGGGACCGCTCCTTTTTGTAATATATATAAACGATATGCCAGATGTTATTAATGATGGAACATACTTACCCCTTTTTGCCGATGATTCCAAATGCTTCCGATTTATTTTCGGGAGTGCAGACCAGAATAAACTACAAGCAGATCTTGATGCTCTATATGACCGGTCCATTACTTGGGGAATGAACTTTAATATAAGCAAATGTAAAATTTTGAGAGTGCCTGTACTCATACTGTTTTCGATCGAGAGTACACTACAGGGGGCGAATCTCTTAACATCGTATAATCCGAAAAAGATCTAGGAGTTTGGCTACACAGTAATCTTGGTTGGAACGACCACGATGATAACATTGCTGCCAAAGCACAAAAAATGTTGGGACTTCTATACCGTTCAACAAGAGAAATGGATGACCCTTCTGTGAAACGTTTACTATACATAACGTGGGTTAGATCAACAATGGAATATGCCAGCCAAGTATGGTCACCGTACAAGAAACGCAACATTACCAAACTTGAACAAGTTCAGCGACGAGCTTCGCGTATTATTCTCAGTAATAACATTGAATACAAGGACAGGTTAATAAAACTTCATTTATTGCCACTATGTATGCGTAGAGAGATAGCAGATTTGGTATTTTGCTTTAAAGCAATACATGGTCAAGTACAAATACCTTCGGATTTATTTCAGTGGTCTGTTACTGGTCGGTGCCTACGAACTACCGATGATCTCAAGTTGACTGTTCCATTTGCCCGTACTGATGTTTTTAAACATTCATATTTTGTTAGAATTACAAGATTATGGAATTTTTTGCCATATACAGTTCGCTCCCTAGAATCTCTTCCATCGTTCAGGAGGGAACTGTTTAAACTATATTATGATCGTTTTCATATTGACTGGAATCCTTAGACTTAGTTATTATTATTATCGACTTATATTACTTATTTGATAGTCAGTTAAATTAGTTTTTTTGGTGGGTGCCAGTGGTAAGGGAATCATGAATTCTGTTGTTGGCTTCCCAGATACATTCTATTGACTTTTGTTAATTGACAATCGACATGTATTAGAAATTAAATTAAATTAAAAAAATAACACCAGCTGATTTTGCTATTTTCGTAGCCAGCTTGCTGATATGAGGTTTCCAAGATAAATGCTGGTCAAGGACTACGCCCAAAAATGAAGTCTGCGTTAGCCGTTCAAGCTGTTTACTGTCTATGCATGGTGGTTCGATTATTATATTTTCTTTTTTAAATGTTTTAAATATCATAAAATTTGTCTTATAAATGTTTAGCGAGAGTTTGTTGGCTTTGAACCATGAGTTAATTTTGTCAAGTTCGGTATTTGCTATATCAGTCAGACATGTGGGATCTTAGTGTGAGATCAAAATATTAGTGTCATCTGCACACAAAAAGATCTTTGAAAGACTAGATGATACATTATAAAGATCATTTGTATAAAGCAGAAAGAAGAGCGACACTAATATTGAATTTGAATTTATTAACATTTGTCACAAAAATTACTAATATTGAACCTTGTGGCACCCTGCATACAAGAGTTTGAGGAACAGAACAGGATTTGTTGAATTGGACAAATTGTTTTCTATTGTAAAAATAACTTTTGATCCAGTCTAATGCAATAACATGAATACCGTAAAAATACAACTTGTCAAATAAAATCTCATGGTCCACCGTGTCAAAAGCTTTTGATAAATCAAGGAAAATTCCCATTACGGGTTCTTTGCGATCAAGCGAAGTGAAGTGATGTTATCGATCAAATGAAGCATGGCTAGACAAGTAGGCTAGAATGGTTTTTTCTAAATCCGTATTGATGCCGTTATAATCAGTTAATTTGAGCACAGATTACGACTAAATAAGAAATTTTGAGCGGACTAATGAAAATACGTCCGCTCAGCTCAACGACTGCATATATGAAATTCAAAAGAAATGAATGTTTAATGGTGTTTGTAAATCGGATAAAGATTTGTCCCGATTTACATATACTTCAGCTTCGATTTTCTCGGCTAAGATAATGTTCTCAATGTTTATTTTTAAAATTACTTCGCCAAATGAACTCATAAGGTCGTATTTTAAGTAGGTTTAAAAAATTCATTAATAATTCAGGAGAAAAATAAAAAAGAAATGAATGTTTAATCAATGTTTGTAAATCGGATACAGATTTGTCCTGATTTATATAAACTTCAGCTTTGATTTTCTCGGCTTAGACAATGTTTATTTTTAAAATTAATTCGCCAATGAACTCATACGATGGTTCATTTTTTAAGTACGATAAAACATTCGCATCCGATCTGTATCTGATATACAAACTCTCGCCTTCGGGTCGAGTTTGTATATCAGACACAGATCGGCTGCTCACGCTTTATCTATAGTACTAAAATATTCTCATCCGATCGTTATTTGATATACAAATTCTTGCCTTTGGGTCGAGTTTGTATATCAGATAAAGATCGGCTGCTCGTGTTTTAACTAGTACTTTGAAGAGACCTAGTTTTATGAGTTAGGCTTATATTTCTTATTTTCTTCAGTCCTAAAAAGAGCCAGGGCAATAACTTTCTAACATAAGGCTATATAGTTTCCTAGCAAACATTTCTCCCTGTGAAGTCAGTTTTATGGGAAACATGACCTGGGGGCATATTTAAGGTGGACCAAATATCCTTGGACACTGGCACTATTTATTATACTATGCCCTTGTAGAATCAAGCACTATTTAATTGCCTTTTAATTCCTATTTTTACTATATGCAGGGACGTCGCTACAGGGGGAGTGTGTGTGTGTGTGGGGGGGGGGGGGTGTAACACACACCCAATAATTCAAAACGGTCAAAGTTGTTCAAAATGGAAATAATATTAACTTAAAATTGAAGGTCAAAGTTGGTCAAATTTGGTCAAAGTTTGAAATTAAAGATGGTCAAAATTATGAAATCGTTCGCAATTTTAACAATTTCTAACAATTTTTTTTTTGGTCGAAATATATTTGAAGCTTTGCTTATGTTAGTTTTTTG